AAATAATATCGAATGGTCCTAAGCTGGGCTGCCCAGTAATACCAGACTATATTCAGCCACATCAGTCCTCCTTCACTGTAGGGTAAATGTAAGAGAGACAATCTAACCCTGGCTCGTTTATTTTCCCATATAAAACTAATCATTAATTTCTTCATTTTACTAAACCAGTCTGCAGGAGGCGGCAGGGGGACATTCTGAAAAACATATAATATTTTTGGAAGTATACTCATTTTGTAAATGTTGATCCTACCAATCAATGACATGGGGAGGGACATCCATCTATTGACATTCTCAGTAATCTCTTTTGTCAAACGTCCATAGTTATTTTTGACGATTATATCCAAATTTGAAAGCACCTGAATTCCTAAGTAATTAAATGCACTAACAACTTTAAATTGAGAAAGAACCTGAGGTGGTGTTTCATTTTCTCTCTCATCCAATAACAACGCAGATGATTTAGATCTATTGATGACATACCCTGAGATGTGACCATACTCCTCTATAAGTTTTAACAAAGTTGGGACAGATCTATTTAGGTTTGAGATGAACAGGATGACATCATCTGCATATAATGAGAGTCTGTGCTCTACTTGTCCAATTGTAATACCTGTTATAGATTGATGAGACCTTACAGCTTTGGCCAGAGGTTCCATTGCTAACGTAAATAGCAATGGGGACAACGGACACCCTTGACGACGTCCACGTTTAATAGTGATTGGGGTTGATACATTCTTATTTGTCAATATTTCCGCAGTAGGATTCAAATATAACAATTGCACCCATTTTTTAAATGTATCTCCATAACCAAATCGACTCAAGACATTAAAAAGGTAGGGCCACTCAACCCTGTCGAATGTCTTCTCGGTGTCCAGAGAAAGCAGAGCCTTATCTGATATGTTGTCTAGGCCATGAATAATGTTAAAAAGCCTTCTGACATTATGCAGACCTTGGCGTCCAAAAATAAAACCATTTTGATCCCTATGTATCACTGAAGGAAGTGAATCTTGCAAACGTTTTGCTAATAATTTGCAAAGTATTTTAAGGTCGGCGTTAAGTAGGCTTATTGATCTCAGGTTTTCGCACTTATTATTGGGTTTCCCTGGCTTGGGTAACAAAATAATTAATGCTCCCATCATTGATTTAGGGAGCCCACCATGAGAAAACCTTCCTGAAACATCTCTAGTATAGGCTTTATTAGTTGCTCTTTAAATTTCTTGTAGAAATCTGTTGGGAACCCATCAGGTCCTGCTTTTTTCCCCAGATTCATGCTGTCAGTTGCCCTACTTATTTCCTCTTCATTCATTTCGGCCTCCAATTGTTGTCTATAATCTTCATCTATACTTGAAATATCTAACTTGTTAAGAAAAATATTATGTTACTGTAAATCAGAGGTATCATGAGAATCATAAAGTCTTTCATAATATTTTCTAAATTCTTCATTAATTTTGGTCGGCTCTACCACATTTTCCCCTTTACTATTGGTAATAGATGTTATGTTTTTTTTTGGGCTTCCATCTGCATAATTTGCCATGCTAAGAGTTTCCCGGGCTTTTCTCCTTGTTCATAGAACGATTGATTTAACCTTGGTAAACTGGAGGCTGCTCTGTCAGCAGATTCTTTATTGTATTGTGCTTTTAACAACAATAATTCCTTCTCAGCTGATGAGTTACCATCTCTAAAAACCTGTTCTTCAAGTGTTTTTATTTTAAATTCTAACTGTTCCCTTTTCTTA